TCGGCAGGGCCTGTGTCTAAGGCACCTCACCCCCGGCCCTGGTCCTCGGGCCTGGCTTTCCTGACCTCAGCAAGGACACCTGAGCCCGATCCCTGTCCAGAGTGCACTGCGGGGCTGCTGACCCTCGTCCCCCGCGTCATAGCCCCACCACAGCGGCCCATGGACTCAGGGACCCTCACCAGCAGCCTGGGACACACCACCTTCTTCACTCCCACAGCAGAAACCTGGCCGGAACTTGGGCCACATGGGCCTCCACGGAGCTCCCAGGCACAGCTCAGAAGGTGACAAGGCTGTCATCCCTGCCTCCACCACGTGCCCACCATCGTCCCCACGCTGACCTACAACACAAGTGTCACCACCCTCAGGGCGCGGGAGACAGCAGCTCCGGCAGCTCTGGGGCTGAGATGGAGGATGGAGGAGGACTCAGGATCTGCCCAGACGGCGGCTGCCGCAGAGGGAAGCACTGAAGACCCCATCTGCTGCAATCCCCAAAAGATGAGCCGTCTTCAGAACAGGCTGGGCATGGTGGCACACGCCCGTCATCCCAGCACTCAGAAGGCTGAGGCAGGAGGGTCCTTGCGAGTTTGAGACCAGTCTGAGCTATAAAGTGAGCTCAAGGCCCTGACTCAAGAAGACAAAAAAGCAAAACAAAAAACACCTATTCCTTTCGATCCAATAAACATAGCCTTGTGGCACTTCATGTTGTCCTTGTTTTTCTCATTTCCCTGCTGACCCACGAAAGCCTCGTGCCAGGCCCCAAATTCAGGGTCGCTGGTCTGAGCCGCTGGCTCGGGGTGCCCGGTGAGCTGGTAAGTGGGGTAACCGCTCCTGGCCCTCCTCAGGCAAAGGTCCGGCCCCGAAATTATGCTGCCTCTGCTTACACCTTTGGGGAACCCGGCTCGCCCAGTGGGCTGCTTCAGATTTAAGTAAGAAAAGAATGTTAATCTTCGCCTTTTCTCTGAAAAAATTGATTTTTGGAACATTACATTTTCTGCAGAGGGAGAATAATAAATTCCTGGAGAAAATATCATTTTGTCATAGCTATATTTTGCAAAAATTATAAGATTATTCCACAGTAATACCCGAATAAATCAGAAATGAGTGTAATAGGGCTTCAAGTTACAGTTTCCGGAGGGAGCGTAGTAATAATTTTCAAATTAGAGACTAAGGAAATCTTCCAATTTGTCAGCAACAATGAAAATGTCTTATTTGTACTGGACAATATTGAAAGAAACGGGTATTTTTCAAAACTATAACAAAACTTAGAAGGTGAACCCTACCCACGGCGCTCGGAGCCCTTGGACAAGTCGGACAGTGCTGCTTGGGGGACGCGGCCGCAGCCACTGCGGGCTCCCCAGTGCTAAAAACACATAATTTAGAACTTGGGATCATTCCATGAAGTAACCAAGGCCAAGATCAGCAATCAAGGTGAGATTCCGCAGGAAGACCGCCGATCTCCCTGAGCCGCTGAAGGGAAGCTCTGCGTGGGATCGCTGGACCGCTGGAGGCGGCGTCCTGCGCTCCGGGTGAGTGACCTGGGGGTGACCATGCATAGTGCAGGCCCCACTGTTGCTCCCGATTGATGGGCTTTGAAGTTTTGTTGTAGTTTTTTCTTCTTTTTTTCTTTTTATCCTTGGAATAAAATGGATTTGAAAAAAGAAATCTGCAGAAAGATAAGAAGAACTGGCAGCAGCGATACTATTAACACTGCTGGAGCTGTGGCTATTTGGGTGATTTTATCACCTCTTCAGCCAGTTTAAAGCATCTGAAGGAAAATATGAGGCTGGACTCCCAGAGGTCCGGGCCCGCGGCAGCCACTGCAGAGTCTGCGAACCAGCGCCTCCGGGCCTCCAGCCCCCAGGAACAGGACACAGAATGCCGCCTTGTGTAGGGAAATCAGGGGCCTCTGCGGCTTGGTGCTGTGTTACACACGTCACAGCCGGAGTCACAAACCAACAGGAACCCAGGGTCAGAGTCACCGGGGGCAGGGCATTGTCGCCCACTTCGCAAAGCCGCACGTGGCCCTCGCCTGCCTTCCAGGCGCCTGCCCTCTATGACCAGTGGGAACGGGTTCATGGAGACGAGCTGCCGGTGCTGTCACCGATGTCACCACCACAGCCGGGAGGGTCACTGCCCTCAACCAGCAAGCCTGCCCTCGGGCCTGGGCTGAGCTGGCACTGCAGGAACTGACACGGGATGAAAGGCCAGCCTTCCTGTGACAACTCTGCTGGTCCTGACTCAGCCAGCTCCGCGTCCTCCCGGGAAGCGGCCTGGGCGGCAGGAGAAAGGGATTGAGATGTGTGGTGTCCCCACGCCACCTCCCAGGACGACTGTGATCTCTATATCCTGCAGACATAGACTGAGAAAAATAAAAAATGAAACAAAACCCTTGCATCCTGTTTCCGAGTCCGGCCACGCTGCTCAGACTGGGGAATGTTCACCCCACAGATATTTGTCCTTTCAGGCGGGGAAGCCTGAGATCCTTGCAGCAGCAGAGCCATGTGTGGGGCAGGGAGGCCGCTGTCTGCTTCTGAGACCCTCCTGCTTCGTCCTCCAGGGACAAAGGAAAGCAGAATCTCATCAAACGGAGCATCCGTGACTTGCTTCCCAAGGCTGCCTTCTAACAGCGTTCCTGGGGGCCCAAGCTCCAACAGGTGGATGTTGGGGGGGTCACATGCCAGGGCACCCCGTCCTAGAAAACAACAGACTCGAGACCAGGGTGCGCCCATGAACCATCAGCATAAATTCTTCCAGACAAAATAAGCTCGAATGGCCATTTACCAAAACCCAAAATTTTAACAGACAGGAGCATCACTCAGAGTCATCGGTTCTGACATCTTCTCCTATCAAAAACCATCACTGTCTCAGCTGGGGTTTCTAAAGAAAAGCGAGCCTATGTGAACTGATCAACTCACAAAAGATTAACAAGTTATTTATACCAGGAATCGAACTCAGGACCTTGTGCTTGCTGGGCGGGGCTTACACCACAGAGCTGTATCCCCAGCCCTGCCAAGTTGTGTTAAACGCTTCGGTGTGATGTGCCGGAACACCCTGATTCTTTGTATACACAATGTACACACAGATCTCGTGTACTAGACCTCTCCGTCTTCTTTCACTGCCAGTGTCGTGCTCAGCGGCTATGTAACACAGGTGCTGTAATACGCAGGGCCCAGTGATCGAATGACAGAAAATCAGAGCCCTGTCAGAGTAAGGATTTCAGCCACCAGTGTCCCAGGGGCCAGGCGAGGACCTTGGACAACAGTTACTGTGTTAATTGCTGAAATAATATAGAAGAGTCTTTCTTCTCCTCAATCATTAAAATCCTATGTAATGTTCCAATCATAATTTGTCACTGTGACGGGTATTTTTCCAAGTCATGTGTCACCAAACCGCATCTCCTCTCTGGTGTCACCCTGCCGACGCCCGGCCCTGCTTGGGAGTGACAGCTGGTGGGGCACTTTAAACTTGGAAATGAAGTTCACCCACGTGTCACCAAAAATAGCCTCGTTTTAATTTTTTTCAACAAATGTAATATGGATACAATGATAGAAGAGCATTAGGATAATAGAAATTCACCCTACATTAGCTTTTAATGAATCTGAGATTTCACAATTCTTTCATATTCCCAAATTTAATTAGTTTTCAAAAATAACGGTCGTCTCTGGCGCTCTCACCACGCCAGGTGATGGGCTCCCGGCTTCCCATGCTGGGCTGGCAGAGCCGCCCTGCCCTCCTGTAGGGTGTGGGCCCCTAGCATCCCATTGTACAGAGATGGAAACTGAGGCCCCAAAGAGTAAGAGATTTATTGAGAGGGGAGCCAGGATTCAAAGATATCCAGTCTTCCCTCCCCTCCCTGTTCCTTCCCCCATCTTTCAATCTCCTTTCCTCTGGAGAAAGATTTATGTCCCTACTTCTATTACCTATCTTTTGCTTTGCTCTTCAATCTATTTCTCTTCTGGGTTTCTCATCTAAAAGAAACCGTGTGGCAGATATATAAGCTGATGTGTCTGATTTATTTTAACTCAAGGTCACTTTAACTCAAGGTCACTTTAACTCAAGGTCTCCAGGGGCAGCCATTTTCCTACCAGAAGAGTCGAGTCTGTCCTTCTTTATGGCAGTGTAGTACTCCATGGCATGTGAATACCACATTTTTTTTACCCTTTCCTCTTTTGATTTTTTTTTATCAGTACCAGGGATCAAACTCATGACTGCCTGCTTGCAAGGCAGGTGCTTATGCCGCTGAGCTAAATCCCCAGCCCCTGACCTTTTCATCTTTTGACAGACACACATGCTGCTTCCAAGGTTAACCTATCCAACTTTAAGAAAGCTAAGTCCTACATATAGTGAAGTGGGAAGTTAATGGAGTAGAAACACAAAACTAGCTTCACTTTGAAAAACAGAAGTTGGGCCAGGGATTTAGTTCAGTGGCATAAGTGTCTGCCTTGCAGGTGCATGGTCGTGAGTTCAATCTCCAGTACCAAAAAAAAAGAGAGAGAGAAGATACCATTAATTAAGAGAAGAAAATGTGGACCAAATGAAGTCTCATAAATGTATTTACAACACAGAGAGACAAGTGAGTTTCCTTCTCAATAAATCAATTTTTAAACAATATCTTTAGGATGATTGCAGAGAAGGAGTCTTCTCAGAGTTTCTTGATGGACAGTCTAGATGAAAACTTCAGAGCCAGGCAAGGTGGCTCACACCTGTGACCCCGGCATTCAGGGGACTGAGGCAGGAGGATCATGAGTTTGATGCTAATGCGGACCACATAACAGAATCCCCCCCAAAATCAAAGTCTTTTAATCATCGTGATTTTTCCCACCCGTGTGTTTTCGCTAGAGCGCTTACTTTTTTAAGCATTTGATAACAATAAAAATCAAATATTTGAGAGGAAATGAATTAACTTAAATTTCACATCATTTCTCCTTATGGGAAATTCAGTTATTCTCTCTCTCTCTCTCTCTCTCTCTCTCTCTCTCTCTCTCTCTCTCTCTCACACACACACACACACACACACACACACACACACACACAGCTTGTGACACAATTAAAAACCAACAAGCATTAGCCATATTTTCTAAGACACCCAGTGTGGCTGAGAGACGGAGACTCCTGGCTCTCCGGTAAGGGCTTCCTCCCTGTGGGCTCTGGGAGCTCTGTAGAGGTCCCGGACTTCAACAGGATTTTGCACAGATCCGGCAATCTTGGAGGGTGCCGCAGAGCAGCCCCCTTGGGCCTCCCGCTGCGGGGAGGGGACGGCAAGGGCCGGAGTTAATGGGACAATTACCAGCCTCCTGCAAATGAGTCGCCTTAATGCACTTAAAGAAAATGGCTCTGCCTCTGATTGAATATTAACATCTGCAACACACGGTGTCAGGCTATGCAATCAAATTTTGCTGTGTTAATTTCCCCAAAGAAAGATTTCCACTGTTTACCCAAACGCCTTCAGTGTTGTCTCTGAGACAGTTCTAGAGTAAACCAATAGAAAGTTGGAAACCACTCTTCCCACCTAGAGCCCTGAAGTAGGCTGTGAGACTCACAGGCTTCGGGCGCTGTGCAGGAGCTCAGGGGGGCGCAGAAGGGGCTGGAAAGGGGAAGTGAGGGCTGGACTGGGGCCAGGAGCCGGGGCGCAGAGGAAAAGAGCGTGGAGGCCCTGGCAGGGTCCCCCAAGCAGGCACAGAAACTTCTAGAAGCTGGAGGCAGAGCCCCTGAGAAGCAGCTGTGAACTCGAGTTTGGGGCTCAGCCCCTACCCGCCCCTAGGCAGGGCAGGGGCACCCACGGCCAGACTCTCTGGTTTCACCAGAGAAACTTCAGACAACCTGGCTCAGGTGAGGACGGGCGCATCCCCAGGACATCTGAAGAGCAGAGCGCTGGGAGAGACTCGGGCACCAGGCAAGGTCCCAGCTCCCAGAGGAGGAGACCAGTGGGGACCAGGGACGAGAGCCTGGGGCCACCTTCCGGCTAGGACGAGACTGAGACACAGGACCAGGCGGGCCACTGCAGTCACCGAGAAGGCACAGATGGAGAGGACACAGGAGGACCCGGGAATCTGAGGCAAAACAGCCGGAATCAACACGAGCAAAGTGACCCAGACGCCAGCACTTAGCTTGTCATGCCTGTCGCCTCTTTCCCCACTGTCCCCACGCTCCCAGGAGGCCGCCTGCCTGTCGGGCTCCCCAGAGGAATTTTCAGGTTCACAGCCAGTTTTACAGAGCGGCTGCAGCCGGAGGTTTGCACGGAGCTGTGGTCTGTGCTTCTCCACCTGAGAGACCCGCTTTCCTGTCCCCCTCCTCCTCTCCCTTCCTCCCCTTGCACAGAGCTACAGATCCAGTCCTTTTTAATTTTATTTTTTATTTTGAGGCAAGTTCCACGTGGCCACGTTGCCCACACTAGGCTTGAATTTGCAACCCTCCTGCCTCAGCTTCCCTAAGGTGGGAATGGTGGCAAATTGCTATAATCCTAGCTCTTGGGAGGCTAAAGCAGGGGGATCATTGTGGGTTTGGCATCAAGTGGCTACATGGTGAGTTCAAGGCCAGCCTGGAATACATAGTAAGACCCGGTCTCAAAATATAAATTGATTAAAATTTCAAAAAAATTAAGATTTCAAAAAATTCCCATCAACCAAGGAATGGATAAAAAAGATGTGGCATTTTTTTTTTTTAACCATGAACATACCTCATAGACCTAGAGAAATCACTCCTAAAATTCATCTGGAATCAGAAGAGACCTAAAATAGCAAAGGCAATTCTAAGCAGCAAAGGCAAGGTAGGAGGCATCACAATCCCAGACTTGAAATTATACTACAAAGCAACTGTAATAAAATCAACATGGAACTGGAATAAAAACAGATCAGAAGATCAATGGAATAGCCTAGAAGATACAACCACAACTACAAACACACTCAACCACCTTATCTTTGATAAAGGGGCCAAACATGTTCACTGGAAAAATGACAGTCTCTTTAATAAATGGTGTTGGAAAAACTGGCCCTCCACATGCCGAAAACTAAAACTAGACCCATGCCTATCACTATGTGCTAAATTAAAATCTAAATGGATCAAAGATCTGAATATTAAAACAGAAAACACTAAATCTGTTGGGAGACAAAATAGGTAAACATCTTGAAGACAGGGAGAGATAGAGAATTCATGAACAGGAATCAAACCGCACAGGAACTACTTCCCAGAATCAGTAACTGGGATCACGTCTTATTCAAAAGTTTCTGCATGTCAAAAGAAATCTCCAGCATAGTGAAAAGAAAACCCACAAACTGGGAAAAAATCTTAGTGAACTGCCCCTCAGACAAAGGACTTCTGTCTAAAACATACAAAGAATTAAAAAAATCAGATCCCCGAAATTCAAAGACCCAATCCAAAAATGGGCATCTGAGATGAATACACAGTTCTCAGATGAAGAAATACAAATGGCAAATAAATACATGAAAAAATGTTCATCATCATTAGTCATTAGAGAAATGCAAATTAAAATCACACTGAGATTCTGTCTCACTCCTGAAAGAATGGCCAGGATCAAGAAAACTACCAACAACAAATGCTGGAGAGGCTGTGGGGAAAAAGGAACTCTCCTGCACTGTTGGTGGGAGTATAGACTGCTGCAACCACTGTGGAGGTCAGTCTGGAGATTCCTCAAAAAGCTGGGATTGGAGGTCCCATTCAACCCAGCTATTCCACTTCTGGGCGTATTCCCAGAAGAACTGAAATCATCATACCACAGTGATATGTGCACCCATGTTTATAGCAGCCCAATTTGTAATCGCCAGATCTTGGAAACAACCTAAGTGTCCATCAACTGAGGAATGGATAAAAAAGTTGTGGTATTTTTATACAATGGAGCTATAAATAATGATCACATTGAGATATTTACTAATAAATGTGCGCAATTTCACTCATAAGTGAAATAAATCAAACTCACATGTATAAATACCGTATAGTTTCCCTAGTATAAGAAATAGTAAGAGTAGGGGCTGTAGATTTAGCTCAGCGGCATAAGCGCCTGCCTTGCAAGCAGGCAGTCGTGAGTTCCATCCCCGGTACCGATAAAAAATGAAAACGAAAAAGACAAAAAAAAAAAAAAGAAATAGTAAGAGTACATAAGAGTTTATGGTAATCATGATTCCCCATCACATTATTTTGAAACCTTATAATGATCGCATTGGTTAGTTGCAATGGGTTTGTCCTTGTTTGTTTGATTTTATTAACTGTGATGGTAAGAACAGCTAATTTGAGGGAAACAAGTCATTATACTAGCCAGTACTGATATAATACCATCTTACTCTGAAGTCCTACCATCTCTTGCTCTTCTGTTTCCATTGACTATCATGTTGTACCTTATTGGATTGTATTACGTGTGAAAGTATAAAAATTTTCTATGGAAAATGAGATAATATAGTAGCCATTGTTTGTTTTCTGTTATTTGGTTCTGAATGCCCTGTGATACTCTCATTCTCTTGAATGTTTTTATACTGTTTTGTTATGTTTGATACTATTGTATATGAAATTATGCTCAACTATTTCAAAGAAAGAGACATCGTGGTGGTTACTGTTAATTACAAGTTATCTTCTAGTGAAATTCTTTGTTGCTTGCATTGTACTGTTCTGATCTGCTTTGTTATATCCTGTTTTGTCTTAATCTCTTTAAAGTAAAAAAAGATGTGGTATTTTTATACAATGGAGTACTACTCAGCTATGAAGAAAGATAAACTCAAGGCTTTTATAGGTAAATGGAGGCAACTTGAGACCATACTCATAAGTGAAATAAATCAGACTCAGATGTATAAACACTGAAATATGTTTTTTGATGAAACTGAAAGAGCAAATAAGATCCAAAAGGTATACTAGGAAAAGAGAAAAGCAGGAAGGGGAAATGGGTACACACACACACACACACACACACACGCACATAACAAGATAGCTAAGGTAACCTCGACTAATTCTATTAGTTCATTAAAGAGCATAGTTAGTGCTCACCTTGTTTGATCAGTGTTGCATGCCTGTATCTGGTAATCTGAGCAACTATTTTGAAGATAATGATATGCAATATAATAACCATTGTTAACTTCCTATCATCTTGTTTTGAAATTCTGTATATATTTTCTCTTTATAATAAAAACTAAAAATAAAATATTAACTCTTGTCTTTGAAAAAGAACAAAAGAAAATCTTGCTGCTAGTCAAGCCAGTCTTAGAATCCTCCTGCCTCAGCCTCCCAGGTTCTGGGCCTTGGCTCAAAATCTGATTTTCATGAACCAAATATTCTTTCTTTTTTGTTTGTTCTGTTTTTGCAGTCCTGGGAATCAAACCCAGAGCCTTATTACTAATAATTTATTACTAATCAGGAAAGTGCTCTTATTACTAAGCTATGTTCATTCCTAGGCCTCAAGTTTTCATGAAAAGTTGATGCCTGTAATCCCAGTACTCTGAGGCAGGAAGAGCGAAAGTTCGAGCCCAGCCTGAGCAAGATCCTGGCTCAAACTTAGACAGGCCCATGAGTTCAACCCCAGGACCCTTTTCCTGGCCCCTCCTGGCAGGCAGGAAGCTCTGGAGTGGAAGGAAGCAGGAGGTCAAGGTGGCTCTGGCTTCAATGCTGAAGTCGCCCACGGTTCCTTGCAGTGGGTTTTGCTACCTGTGAGCACGGCCGGGGCCCCTAATCAGCTCTCGAGCTCCTGCCCCATCCCAGACTCTGCCTGTCAGCCCTCACCTGCTGTGACCAGCAGCCCAACCTCTGCCTCTGTGGCTTTCCAGAAAGTTCTGGCTCTGGCCTTGTGAGTTCTCACAGGCATTATAATTTCCCCGGTTCCTGAAGTGTGAAATCCTAGGATTGTGATGGATTCCTACCTTCTCGTCCCCAGGATGATCCTGGACCCAACATGGAGCCCCGCCTTGGTGGCTTCTCCAGGACCAGCGACCTTCGCTTGGTAGCATGCACACCCCATTGCAGGCCATGCCACCAAAGGCACATATTTCTCCAGGAGCGATGCTGCCCTGCTCCTGAAGCAGCTCTTATGCTGTAACACAACCCCAGAGAAGAACAAAGATTTGAACTCTGAGCTCAAATTCCTTTTATTCTTTTGCAAATTTGTTCTTTATGTTTTGGTGATTTGGTTTGGTCTGAGAAAGGGTCTCTATTTAGTTCAGGCTGGCCTCAAATGCACAGCAATCCTCCTGCCTCAGCCTCCCAAGTGCTAGGCTCATGGCATGTGCCACCATACCTGGCTCAAATTTCTAAAATGTATTTCCTGGGCAGGGATTTAGCTCAGTGGCATAAGCGCCTGCCTTGCAAGCGCGAGGTCATGAGTGTGATACCCGGTACCGATAAAAAAAAAAATGTATTTTCTGTTATACTATTTTTAAGTATTAGTTGTATCATTTACTTCCAAAATAAATGCAGAGAGGATATCACTGAAAGACGTGTTACACAGATCGCTGGGAGGAAATGCCAAGTGCAGCATAGAAACGCAGCTGCGACTAAGTCCTTCTTGCAGGGACTCCTCAGAATGGACTGGTGGCTCTCCTCGAGCACTGAGCCCTTGGTTGCTAACCTTGGAGGCCACCAAACCTCGCTGGACTGAGACCGCACCCCTGGGCTCTGTTCTTTGTCCAGGCCACACCTTGGGGGCCCCACCAGGCGGTGACAGGTGGATCTGAGGGGACCCTGTCCCTCAGTGTTTTGTGCGTCTGACTTTTTACACAATGCTCTTCCCAAACTGAACTCAGTTCCTGCAAGAGGACGTCTGTGGTAAAACCCAGCTGCCACCTCTGAACATCAGAGAAAGTCCGGGTGGGAGGTGCCGGGGACACACAGCGCACACATGGCCTGCTGTGAGGGGCACGTTCACCATGTGTCACAGCATGCATCGGACCAAAGGTTCCTCAGGCTCAGGACACAGTAACAATTAAAGCACTCAGCTGCAGCCGAGGCACCGGCAGTGCGTGAGAGGTACGTGGGCGTTTGTTACACCCTTTACTTTTTATAGCTATGTCCCCCAAAATAAAATGTGAAAGTGGGGAACCCCCAAATGCCCGCGTCATACCTTTCCTCTCCCCAGCCAGTGTTTCTTAGACAGAAGCGGACACAGCACCCGGCACTCCCACTTTCCAATCAGAAGCGTTCGGATAAAAAGGACCAAGGAAGGCTGCAGAGTAAGAAAAACCTGCTCAGCAAATTAGGATTCAGAGATCCAGGAGCAGTGTGCTGAACGCGTCCACACGTAACCTCCTCTGAGCAGATTTACTGCACCGGGTCCCTATCAGGTGTCGCCAGACAGGAGCTCCCATCCATAGGAGGGAAAATGGGGCTAACTTCCTGCGGGGGCTGAACCCTCTCCTTCTGCCCCACCACACCCATGTGTCAAAGCCCTGTGGACCCTTGTTTGGAGACAGAGCAAAAGAGGTAATGGGGTAAGGGCGTGGTGAAGGTGGGGCCCGGTCCCACAGGGCCATAAGAGGAGACCCCAGAGCATCTGCCCTCTGTCTCCACACAAGAAGAAGCTGGTGGGATGCACAGGCAGCTGAGGGCCACCTGCAAGCCAGGAGGACGCCTCACCAGGGACCAGCTGAGTCTGGACCCGGCTGTCAGACCCCGGGCTCCAGAGCCATGAAGAGGTAAATGTCCGTTGTGTGAGTCGCCTGCGTGTGACTCATTTCATAGTAGCCCAAGCTGACCACAGCAGAGAAACATCACAAAGGTCACGAAACGTCTCCGGACCCAGGCTCTCTGTGTTGATCTGTGTCAGTGTCATATAATGCCCCAGAGAACCACTGAAAATGGTAGCTTCAATTTCAAGCCATTCTTCCTGAACCTCTAACGGTAGCTTCCCTAGAAACTGCATTCTCTTTAGCTTTAACTAAACAGTGGAAGCACTGCTGTCCATAACAGAATTGAAAAAACACTTTACAGTAATAATTCTCAATGTCAGAGGTCTCAACTTCCCAAGCAACAGACACAGACTAGCAGATTTGATTAAAAGACAAAACACAAGCTGGACAAGCTGGTGCAGCCCTGGTATCCCAGCACTCAAGAGGCCAAGGCAGTGCTCCCCTCAGCAGCACATACACTAAAACAGGAGGATGAGGCAGGAGGGTCCCTCTGGGTTTGAGGCCAACCAAAACCACATAGACACTGTCTCAAAATAAAACTACAACCATCTACTGCCTACAGGAGACACACCTCATCTGAAAGGAAGCTCACAGCTTGAAAGCAAAGGTAGGAAATGAAGCTCCATGCAGCCAGAGCCCAGAAGCAAGCAGGAATGGCTGTCTCACCTTCAGGCACAGCCGACCTCAAGCCAAAACTGGTCAGAAGATACAAAGATGGTCACTGCACAGTGGTGAAGGGGGTGACTCAACAGGAGGAAGTGAGACTCGTGAATATCTACGCATTGCAAATGGGCGCACAGGATGAGTGGACACCAGGCAGCCATGGGGTGGACCGCAACACCTCACTCTCATAGTGAGGCCAGGTGGACAAACAGCACAGCAATGTCAGCGTTTCACCACACCATGGAATAAATGGGCTTAACCAATCCCTACAGAGTGCTTCACCCAATAGCAAAAACGTTATTCTCAGCAGCACATGGGACTTCTTCCAACTAAACCACACTCAGGCCCTAAAGCACGCTTAAACGACTTCAAAAGGACTGAGAACTCACTGCAAACATTCAGATCATAGCGGGATGGAGCTGGACACCAAGAGCAGAAGAACCCACAGAAATCACAAAAACACGGAAATTAAACAGTATATCAATGAGGAGTCAACAGGTCACAGAAAAACTCAGGGAAGAAAAACACCAGGTCCTAGAATCAAAGAAACGGAAGCCCAACATGCTGGCCCGGGGTCACCAGGGAAGTGGTGCTGAGCAGAAGCTCACAGCTGCGAACGCTCAGCTACAAGCAGAGCAGGCGCCAGGTGAGGGAGCCGGTGACGCTTCAGGAGGTCCCGGGAGACGAGAGAGAGCAAGGCAGCCGCCGGTTAGCAGCAGGCGGGGAAGCACAGAGGGCAGGCCCGAAATGATGAGAACGGACTAAACACGGAGGCACCGAGGCAGCGCTGCTTGTGGAAGAATAAACACAATCCATTGAATCCTTAACCAGCTTCCTAAACTGAGAGAAGAGAAATCTGCATGGAGGACTTGAGAATGAAAAGGGCACATCACAACAACACTGCGGAAGTGGACAGGACTGTGGGAAGCTGCTCTGCAAACGTTTCTTCCAATAGCTTGGGGAACCCGGGGGAAACAGAGGGCCTGGGATTTAGCTCAGTGGCTTAGGGCCTCTCTGCAACGTCAGGTCCTGAGTTCGGTTTCTGGTACAAAAAGAAAGAAAGAAAGAGAGGGAGAAATTCCTACACACATGTGAATTACTAAAATTGACTCAAGAAGATATAAAAACTCTGACTAGACCAATAACAGGTAATGGAAGTGATAAAAACCCTACCAACAAAGAAAAGCCCAGGACCTGATGGATCTGTCAAGAATTCTACCAGAACTCCGGGATTCAAACTCTGCAGTGAGACCGAGAGGCAGGAGTGCTGCCCAAGTCAGGCCTGGGGATCGGCTACCCTGATCCCAAAACCGAGCCGGACTTAACCGAAAAACAGAACCTCAGGCCAATGCCGCCACATAGACACAGAACTCCTCACCACCCAAAAGCTCAGGCATCGCGATAAGTGGGCTTCACCTTCACCCGGGGCTGCAGGGATGGTTTGATCAGCACACGGAGCCATCACTTCAACAGAACCAAGAGCAAAACCCACATGATCGTCTCAATGGACTCAGAGAAAGCCTTGGCAACATTCAGCCCCCACTCATCATCCTAAAAATCCCAACCAAAACAGGCAGAGAAAGACCTTACCTCAAACTCAGAAATGAAGGAAGTCATTTGTGACAAACCTGCTGCCACTGTCACACTAAATGGTGAAAACCAGAAGCTTCTCCTCTAAAACAAGGAACAAGACCAGCATGTGGGTTATCACCACGCCTGTCCAGTATGGTGCTCAAAACCTCAGCCAGAGCAATTGGGCAAGAGAAAGAAATAAAAGAGGTATTTACAGGGAAGGAAAAAGTCAAATATCCTTATTCATAGGGGACCCAGTCCTTCAAAGAAGACCCCAAAACTCCTAGAACCATTAAACTAATTCAGAAAAGCAGCAGGACATAAAATAAGCTCATAAAAATTAAAAGTATTCCTGTACAACAATGAACCCACCCAAGAAAGAAATCAAGAAAACAATCCCATTCACAACAGCATTTTAAAACCTGGATGGGAGTGGTGGTGTACACCTGTCATCCCAGCACTCCGGAGGCTGAGGCGGGAAGATTGTAGTGAGTTCGAGAACAACCTGGGCTGAAATATGTAGGAATTAACCTAACCAAGGAGTGAAGAAACTTTATAATGAAAACTATACTGCTCTGAAAAAGGTTGAAGAAAACATTGGAAAATGGAAAGCGATCCCCTATTCCCAGGGAGGCAGAACTAACACCATCAAAACGGCCATACTACCCCAAATAAGGAGCAGATGGAGTGCAATCCCCATCCAAATATCATGGCCTGTTCTCACAGAACTAGAAAAATAATTCTATGATTTATATGGAAACAGAAAAGCTGGGGAGTAGCTGGGGCAGTCTTGGACAGAAGAGAAAGGAAGAGGCGTCTGATCTCAGACTAAATCCTACTACACGGCTGGCAGGTGGAGCTCGGTACCGTACGCACCAGGCAGGCTCGCTGGGCAAGGGCACCTCCAGCTGCCGGCTGCTGGAGAAGGGCCAATAAGGGGCCTGGAGGCAAGGCGGCCCCAGCCAGCACTCTGCTCACACACACACCGACGAACGGGGCAGACCTGTGCTCTCACCCTGGGCTGAAAGAAGTGGGAGAAACACTCAGACAGTAAAACAGAAACCCTGAATCTTCTGGAAAACACAGTAGGAAGCAGTCTTGAAGACGTAGGCGTAGGTGAGGACTTTCTGAACAGGAGCCAATGGCACAAGAAATAACACTAAGAATCAACAAGTGGGAGCATATCAAATTAAAAAGCTTCAGCATCGGGAGGCTGAGGCAGGAAGATCATTGCAAATTTCAAGACCGGGCTGGACTACACAGTGAGCTCAAGCCAGCCTGAACTACACAGCGAGACCTTGTCTCAGACAGACAAAAAATGAATAAATAAACGAAAATTTAAAAAGCTTCTGCACCACAAGAGAAACAATCAACAGAATAAAGAGAATGGGGGAGATTTTCCCAGCTTTCCTCAGACAGGGCTCATATCTAGAATATATAAAGAACTCGTCAAGATTAGGGCCCCTCCCAAAGTAATAGACTTAATCAAAAAAAAGAGCCACTGAAATGAGTCTGATAGGAGCCGCTCGGAATAAGGTGCCCCTGTGGCCAACGCGCACATGGGAAAGTGCCCCCATTTTTGGCTTTTAGAGGAATGCAGATCAGAATATCACTGAGATTCCGGCTTCGTCCGAGGAACGGCTAGCAGCAGGAAATCAAGTACTACCACGTGCTGGCCAGCTACGGGACCCTTCTGCGCTGTGGGTGATGAGAACTAGTGGATCTCGCAGGCTTCAGGGTGCAGATACCTCGGGCACGAAGACGCCAGTCCCAGCTCCCACCCACACTTCTGTCCCTGCCAGGCCATCAGAGGCGGTGCCTCACAGGGACCACACACCCGCGCCTGCAGCAGCACAGCGCACAGTAACAAAGTCTAGGAAGCTGCCCACGTGTCAATCGGCAGACGAGGGAGCGGACACAGGAAACAGGGACAGCACACAGCAGAGGCCACGGCCGCAGGGCGGGCTGAGCCTGAGTCTGCAGGAAGCCTGCTCCAGCCTGAGAACATGGTGCCCACAGCTCACAGCGGCAGGAGGCGGCAAAGTGGCAAGGGTGACGACAGCCCCTTCTGTCCCCTCTGTCTCATCCAGGCTGCTGGGGCATCAGCACTCGCACTGCATCCCGGCATTCCGACACTGCACCAGGAATCCGTCTCGGTGTCACACACTTTAGGGCCAGCCCCCCTGAAAAGCCCTGCCTGGGGGACATGGCAGGGGAGGGGAGGGGACTGAGGAGGGCGGGAGAGGGACCAGAAGGAGAGGTGCAAAGGCTGGAGGTGACGCAGGGACCAGACTGACTGTCT